GTCCTCTATAACCACCATGGCCTTCTTGTTCGTAACCATCATGACCTTCTTGTCCTCTGTAGCCACCGTGGCCTTCTTGTCCTCTGTAACCACCGCGCTCTTCCTGTCCATAACCACCATGTCCTTGATTTTGCCCATGTCCTTGGTTTCCATAATTCTGATGGCCAGCACCGTTTCCGCCATAACCTCCCATTTTGCCATGTTGGCTCGGACCTCCACTTTGACCTTATAGAATGAGATTGAAATCAGCCGACTCTCTAGATGAAGATAGGTTGCTTGAGGCCAAGGCCGTAACATACCTGAATGGCCAGCTTGCTGATACGCCCCACCGCCCATGCCACCGGATCCAGGACCGGAAAAGTTTGTATTTGTCTGAGTCTGATAATCCTGGGGGTGCTTCTGGCCCGTCACGGCATCATTAATTTTATGCAAGATGCCCGGAGATGAGGATTGTTGTCCGCCTTGTGGCTTCTTTTGGTTTGAAAGCTGATCGGTCAGCTTGCTCAACAGGTCTGACATGATGGAACGGCCTTGAAGAATACACTGAAAGGTAATGGTAACAGGTCTGCCTAGAACTTGGTTAGAAATAGTTCAAGCGGGAGGAGTTGAAGATCGAAGCGAAGTGGTTATCTTTAGAGCTGAAAAGAGGTGTCAGTGAGGAGGCGCAGCGGGTCGTATCAGACCGCACACGTCACCGCCCAACCTTACCACATGAGTGCTACCCCCACTCGGCTTGACCTTTAGCTTGATGGAATTCATTCTGCGTCTAGTAATGGTACTGCACTGTCCGAGTGGCCTCAGAGCCGTCCGCATGTTCTGTTCGTCTTTGGCATACAGGAGAACTCATATTGAATGATCTGATCGAATCGGGCTCCTCCCCGTGCAAGGTTCAGCATCATTGAGTGACGCGCTCTACGCGTCTCAACCCACCAACCCACTCTTCTCATCAACCAACCCCTGAACCAGTTCGCTCTTAGTTAAGCTCAAATGGCATCCAATCAAGAAAGTGCGAAGAAAAGGGTCGAGATATCTCCAACTGCAACTACTACTTAATCTGTCTTGCCTCCCCCGGGTGTGACTATTTTCTGCCTTCTACGTATATGTTGGGTAACCGACCAGCCTCGCCATCCAGTCTAAAAGACCCAATCATCCTGATCGAAAAGTTCATCCGATCACACTTTGCCTAGACCAACCAACACCAACAATGCCACGTTCATCACCACCAGGACAAGCCAGATGGCTACCGCCAGCGCCGTTGTAAACCAACCATTACGCATGTCGACGGCTTCTCCTTCACCTCGCCTCCCCTGAAAATCAACCCGAACGGTCATGATGCTGCTGCGGCATGTGAATACACAAGTGGTGCCGTCACGAAAGGAGGGATGACGCTCGAGACGACCTGAGTTGCCGTAAGTGTCCTGTTCAAGCCGTTTTTGCCGACTGCCCCAGCTATGATGATGCTGGGGACAATGCTGATATAGCGGGTGATCAATCTCCTCATCCATGGCTTCACGGTCCATTTAAAGATTCCCTCGGAAACCATCTGGCCCGCCATTGTGCAGACTATACCGGCGGAAGAACCCGAAAGGAGTAGAGCGAGGGCGAAAAGCGTGCCAGCTGCTTTGGAGAGACTTTGGGAGAGTAGATCGTGAATACCGAAAATATCTGCCTCGGTTGCTTCTGTTTTGGGGTAGAGAGAGGCTCCGGAAACAATCAAGATGGCTGAGTTGACGAATAGTGCGAAGGTAAACAATGAGATGCCCAATTCCACAATGGAATATTTCATGCAGGCTCGAATGGCACAGATCAATGGTAGGTACTTTTCCTCTTCGTCATCAGAATTATCGACGGCCAAATGACCATTCTGGACATCAAAGTGCTTCAACCTTGGCTGAACGACCCCTGACCCTAAGAATATCGAATGTGGCATCACGGTTGCACCAATGATACCGCAAGACAAGTAAATCCCGTTGTCTTTGATGATGTCCGAGGATGGAAGAAAACCTTTGAATACTTCGCCGACTGAGGCGTCCTGAATATAAGATAGTTGAATGCAAAAGCGGATCACGACGCCGAGCACCAGTGCCATAACGAAGTATTCGAACAATCGCAACTTGGTCATGGAGCCATCAGGGCGATAAAAGAGTGAGAGAACAAGGACATCGATGGGAGTGATTGCACACCCAGCGACGAGGGGTATATGAACAAGAGATTCAATGCAATTGCTGAACCAACAACCTGATATCAATTAGTATGAACAGGAGATAATTTTGTACTCAGACTTACCTCTGCGATATCCGTAGCAATGATGACGGATTCGGCAAAGATGTACAAAGTAATGGTAAGCCATTTTGGTAGATGCTTTCGGCAATTCTCAGCCAAATTCAACCCCGTAACGGTACCCAATTTGATGCACAAGGACTGCAAGAAATAGCAAACAAGTTGGACAACAAGATCATAAATAGGTGCTTATAGCGTATGGCGGCACCAGCTTCGACGTCAGTGGCATAATTGCCTGGGTCGATATAGGCCACGGCGATGAGGAAGCCAGGCCCAATGAATCCGCAGTACTTGACTAGGACGTCGCGTGCCTTGAAGAAAAAGGGCTTTGGTGATCGGAAATTCATGAACTTTCGTGAAGGTCGTTGATCCGGAGAGGCTGTCATAGGGTCGACTTTGACACCATCGACCCCTTTGCGGCCGATTGATCTTCTGCCTGGTCGACGGGGTTCACACGTTCTTCTTCATGATTGATTCCAAGACCTGATAGAGCTGATCGTTGTTCTCTCAGATTGACAATGCCATTGAGGTCAGCCTTGGTGGTGAGATCCGAGCTCAAATGATGTGGGCTCTGATTCCGATCAGGATGGGCCGATGTATCGTCTGTCCTGGAAGGGTAATTCATGGTGAATAAGGTTGATAGAAAAGTAGTAAGGTCAATTGAGAGTAAAGGTCAATAGACAGTACAGAATAGGTAGAGTTATATGAGTCTCGGAGTGCACAGATTCATTCTAAACCAAACTTTCAAGGTCAGACGCGGATTCTCCCGAACTCGTCTTGGAGCCGGGGGAAGCTGACGGCTGATTGGGTTTTGAGAAGGCCATTTTCAATCTGAGCCACCGCCTACCCTTGCTCACCAAGAACGAGCATGGTCTGCCTGCGAATAGGACGTCAGCAGTCAACGTAAGCAGCTGCAAATCTGGGGACAGAGAAGGCCTGGGCGTGCATCTGGTGTGTAGAAATCGCTGGACACAAGTTTGACTCAGGTCGGATTGGAGCTTGGCGAGAGCCGGACTGGCACTACAGTACGAGATACGACTAAGTGACAGGATCTAATTCCGAATTACCAGTAGTCGCTGGGGTTTACAATTCTTGCGGTGTGATATTGTAGACAGTCGGTGGTGACCTTTCTGCTGGTGCTGCAGCATATGCGGGTTTCTGGTGGGTTTTGATTCGCTTGCTAATGCATTGGTAGATAGGATCTACGGACTTGGGTTCATTGGATTGCGGAAAGCATGGAAAGCCAGTCTCGGATAAACACGGCGTACTTGTACGAGTAGATTAAGTGGCTGAGAAACAAAATAGCGGGCTTCAAGGGCTTCATTCTGCGTATCGACCCTCTTGAGTCGAGTCATACATCACCACCCGTTGGGCTCAATCACACAGCAACATCATCCGTTCGTATTCCCGTCCGTTGCTGTTGCACAGCCGGTCTATCTGTTCCCTCTCTTCGGCTGCCATCTCAAATTCTCTCTCCCAAGGCTATCCTCAATTCACAGAGGCCTTCCCATTATGCCTGGTCTGTTCGACCAGCTGACCGATCAACTGTCTAACCAAAAGATGCCACCAGTTGGGACAGCAATCCTCCTCTTCCGGACTCTTGCACAAAATTAACGATGCTTTGACAGGGCAGAAGCACTCTCAGGATTATCAGAATCAGCCCACCCCCGAACACGATGGGTAGTGGGTTATGGGGGCATGGGCGATCCAGGCTATCAGCAGTCTGACCATTCAGGTATACTACTTGCACGGGTAAAACAGCTCTTCCGTAAGCTCGGAGCGATTCCTCGGGTCGGCATGGCAACTCAGGAGGATACGGTGGGTACGGTTCTGCTTATGGGGAGCAACAAGCGTATAGAAACGCGTGTGGGCTATAAGTGGGGGCCTACAGGACGTCAATGCCATCAAGGTCATCGTCTAAGGCAGGAATTCGTCGGTCCTAGCCTGAAGCTTCAGGGTTTAGGTAAGTTTTGTTCTAGTGCGCAGAACAAAGGTGAGTTGCAAAGCCGAGCTCTAGAGTGACTTGGTTAGGCTAGTAGTCCATCTGAGGACATCGCGGATGTGTTAGTCGTGCTGCTCTTTTTGCGAGGCGCAGTCTGATAGATTCGCAACAAACTTTGGGCCGTGACCAACCATAAGTGAGCGCTATGTCACTGTACTATCGCATAACTCCTTTCAAGAGCGCCGGGCCCCGATTAAAAACTTAAACATACACAATTGATCTATAAATTTCATGTGTACTTTTCCAGTATCAGGTCTTATATCCCACGATCCCTGCGGCCGGCCACAGAAGGTGACATAATCCTACTATAGTCCGGCTGTTTCCTTGGTTTTATACACTTCGAGTAGTGCAATAAATGACTGCGTCTATCTCTCACGAACTTTGGCATAAAGTGCGCCAGCAATATAGACCGCGGCAAATGAAATCATTGCTGGAAATCTGAAGGACGATGGGCGGAAGAAAAGGATTGTCGAAGCGTAGGCACATAATTCGAATGAGTTCTGCAGAGCAGCTTCCGTCGCTGAAAAGGCTCCCCGGTATTGTGAGTCGACCTCTTCCTAGATGATGACTTGAGCAGAAAGATGAAAGCCCCAGAGACCGACTATGCTGAGGATGGTGCCACCCACGAGCCCGGAAGCAGTGCCGAGGGGTGCTTTTGCAGTCCAGAAGAGAGCGACTGCTGCAACTAGACACAGCATCTGAAGGCTCAAAACCCATCTTCCAGATTTGACCGGACCAATTCGACTCATGACCTACGGGGCGAGCCACGTTGTCGACATCTCGAAGGCGGTCAACACCATGCGCATTAGACTCACGACCGCTGATGTGTACCCGACGGCAAGGAGGTGCGTAACCATCTGTGCCGAGAATGACTGGACGGACAAGTAGAGGATAGAAAGTGACAGCGACGGTAAGAAGGCGTCTTGGGTACTGTAGAGCTTTAAGTTGCCGATGAGGGACATCCACCAGGGAGATGCGGAACGTGATGGGACCCTACAGACTTTGCTGATCCGGTTCAGAATCGCAACAACAGGTCCCAGTTGTTTTGAGGCCAGTGGTCCATTCCTCGGGTTCGGAGCAGTCCGACTTGTCGGAGCAAGGTGCGATCGTGCAGCAGCACTTTTTCAGCGTCTCGCCCAAGCGAGCCTTCTTGAAATTGCAGCTGTGGTCCTTCTTCGCAGAACCGCTGCAGCCCAGCTCTGCAATAACAGAACAGGCAGACTTTCTTGTCGACAATGGTGCGATCGCCATTCTTGGTACCAACGTGTTCCAGCTCAGGATTGTAAAGACCAGCCTTGCTTTCACTGGGGCAGCCACTTGTTCCCGTTGTGCTACTGAAGTCATGGCCTGGCCCTTCAGTACCACAGCAGCCATATTTTTCAGGACAGAATAACCTGTCGTCTTCTCAGAACCACAACACTCATCCTTCTTCGAGGTAGCTGTACCATCATCGTTTCCATAGCGTCCTTTCCTCACGCACACAATACCATCTGCTTTCTTGCTCAAAGCCGACAATAAACTCGTCTCCCTGGCATCAGCTGTCGTGTCCCGAGTTGATGCGGGCCGTGCCGCCTCACAACACGGTTCGAGTTTGCGCGATATTCTGTCAAAGCACGTTAGGCATCGTAGTGAGGAAGACTCAGATACGATGCTCTTCGAGCTCTTGATTCATGCATAGGCTCAGAAGAATAATCTTTAATGAAGTCAAAAAGAAATGTTGGTGCTCACCATCTGATTGTCGTAGGCTTCATCAACAGTGGTAAGATGCTCCGCTGCTTTCTCAACAAGCGGCACTAGAATCAAGCCGAGGAAGTTTTCCGGAACACCCGTCTGAACAACGTCACGGATCTCCTCGACGAGAAAGATGGCGATCAGAGTGACAAACGTGAGGGAGATCGCAAGAGCGATGACGCATTCGGTGAAGGTGAGTTTGGCTTTGTGTAGATCTCTGTGACGATCTGTGTCCCGTTCTTCATCGGAGGCGAGAACTTCGTGGAAGATGCTCTCCTGACTACGCGCATTGAACCATAGATATACCAAGAAGGCCACGATAAGGATAATAGATGTGACTTGGCTGATCTTCAACGTATTGTTGCGTAGTCGGACCTCTGTAAAGCCTTCACCCTCGGAACTGGTGGTCGAGCCTCTCAGGGCAGAGAAGAAAGCGCTCGGTATTAAGAGGGCAAAGCCCGCCACCAAAAGCAACCCTGAACCCACCTCGCTGATTGCGGCGTGGAATGACTGTTGTTTCAGCTTCAAGCACTACAACCAGCCTGCCTGCGCACGAAATTGTATTGGCAGCGCCCAGAACGGAATTCAATGTACAAACGCAAACCGCTTCTGCATTCAGATAAACGCCGGTTTGGAATTCGTCTCCGGCTGCGTACTGAATACTTGCTGTTCAAGTCGACTACAAAAGGAAGCCGTCCCTAAACTGAAAACAAGCAAGCTTAACATGGAGTACTGTACAGCTGGCACGGCTTAGAACGACTAAGTTTGCTATGCATTTCTATATCATTATACTATGAGCAGGTCGAAGCACTGATCTCGATCAACTGGCAGTATTGGCTATAATGAGTCAGCAGCCATGACGGGGAGTTCTACTGACACGGAAAGAGGCGGCGAGGCTCTCAGCTCGACTGTTGCAATATATAAGGTCTAGGTTATAGATTTATCTGGTTCGCTTGCTGTTTTTCTATCAAGTGAAAGTCATCAATCCACGACTGATCGCAGTCCGGCCGTGTCAAAATATCATGGTCATCAAGTTTCAACAGAGGTAATCCTTGTGCGCGATTCGAATCCTCCAGCAGGTCGAACAGACTTCCACCGAGAGTCTTGTTCAGCTGTCGCAGAAATCGTCCTTTCACAGACTCTAATTCATCCAACAGTGTTCCATGCTCCGATGCTGCTAAGATCCCTTCGAAACTATTCCCGTCAGCCGGTTTGTCCCTGAAAGCCAGACAGAATCTGTTAAACTCACATTCGGTCATTGGCTACCACCCTGTTCTCGTCAATAAACCAGTCTCGGGTCACCAGCCCTAGAGCTGACCACCCGAATTTGTCGGCGAATTTGAGCCATCGTTGGCCGGCTTCGATCTGTTTGCTCAACTTTCTTTTGTAATGGTTCCACCGAACGGCATCAGATTCGTCGGAATCGATAAGGCCACTCCTGGTCTTATTCCTCCCCTGAAATCTAGCAGGAAAACCAACGTCCCAGATATGCTGGATCAGAGATACATAAGCCGCGGCCTTGTATGCCTTGTTTGTCGATGTCCGTAGCGACAAGCACGTGCCATCCTTGTCGTGCCCCAAGCGACCTCTGTTTGCGACCGTATCGGCATACAATCTGGCCAGTCGAGCCAACGCGAATCTTCGTAGATAGCAGTTCAAGTTATCCGCTGTGTCGACACTATTGACGGCATTGACAAGGACTTAAGGATCTTGGCTGAACACTCCAGCCATGGTGGCTCTTTCATCCCGCTGTATAAAAGTCATCACCTCTTTCAATGCTCCAAAGGCGTGGCCATTGGCCACAGCCAGCACCATTTTGACCAATGTATTAACACGACCGGGAGACACGCCTTGCTGAATCCTGCCACTGGACGGCGCGAAAGGCAGGGACGTAAGTCGCCGCCAAACTCGAGTAGCTTTGATAGAGTGCTTCGCATGGTTCTCCTGCTGTGCATAAGATCCCCTCTTATTATCCCAGTCATACCAGAACGAGGAGTCCGGCGAAGGATCCTTCACTCCTGGTTTAGAGGACATGGACTGAGCTTCCGACTTATGTGCGTCATCAAATTTCGGTCTTTTTGTTGGTGTCTGTGCTGGAGTGGCCAGTCGGGGTCTTTTCCTTGATGGCCTGCTCGTGGGTTTTTGTAAAAGGGACGCTCTTCTCGAGTTTCTTGGGCGGCATGCCATATTTGTGCTGTCGTCGTCATCCTCTTCCTCCTCCTCCTCCTCCTCGTCATCGTCATTTATTTCCTTATTCGTTTCCACGCCACCTTCTTCTATTTGCTCTTCGTCTGTAGGCTGCTCTACATGCGCTTGTATCTCGTTGGTCTCTCCGTGCTGTCTCCGTGATTCTTGTTGGCCGCATTCCCTTGCGTCATCATCATCATGTTGATTATCATTAGTTTCCATCTCCGAACTCAATTCGCTTGAGCTAGATAGTCCTTCCACCAGGTTTAAGGTGCCTGGATTTCCCGTATTCAATTGCTTACCAGCTTGGCCTCCACTTGATCGTTCAATATCATCTGCGGGGAGCGAGACATTAAACGCTCCGCTTTCCTTACATATCAGAGACCCGTCGACGCCTGCTGAACAAGGGGTTTCCGTCTCGGGGACCGAGCAACTCTTCAAGAACCTTAGTGGTGGTTTAATTGCAGGCTGGTTTATAACAGGAACTAAGTCGTCTGAAGGGAGCTCATGATCTTTGTGAATATGAGTGTTATCTTCAGTTATGCTGTTGGTTGGAGAATACCCGTGTGTCACTTCTGAATTCGCGGCAACTGTGAATGAAAGAGCTCGAAGAAATGCTTCAGCGTCCCTGCAAATAGCATGGACAAGCCGCGAGGAAGTGGGATAATTTTATGACAACAAAACGCCGTCATCCGTGAGACATGAGCAATCATGCAGAGTCGTCGAACTGAGCGCAGTGAAAAGGAAATGTTGGAAACTATCGCAAACAACATGGCCGCTACGGGAGGGAATGCCATGATTGTCATTAGGCGAGAAGTCCCGCAAAATCATTCCGCCGTGCGGCTTCTCAGCCAGTGCTCTCGTTTAAGATTATCGTGCGAAAGGTGATAGCAGAAAGAGTCAAGTCCACGCAGATAGTGTGCCGAAGCCCAGGTGGGATTATCGGAGAGGATCGACTTATAATGACCGTTTCCCTCGAGCGTATAACCATTCTTCTCAAGAATGGGAGTCACGTGCGTAGTACGAATGAAGTAGAATTGACTTCACCTTCCACACGCTGCTTCCGATATTTAAGCCTGACTGTGTCTATAGAAGCCCTTCCACCCTTAGGTTTTTTTTAAGATAGGCGGCTAGTAGAGCGTGGTACATCTCATAGCCTCCTCTGTCCCACAAGTTTCCATTGTAACTCACTTCCTGCTGCCAGTGCTTTTCCACGGTATGACGTTGCGCCGTTTCACTGCGCCGGGATTCGTGGCACCAAGGCTTCGACTTCTTGTGTAACTTAAGGTTTCGAACTCACATATTTCGCAACCATATTCCAAGCTAGGTCGTACCCATACGTAATGTCGGGGGCTTTTCGTTCCTTTTTGTTGCTGCCGTCCATGGAAAAGGATATCTGCATCCTTTTGTGCAGTCAGAAACCACGAAAATCTTCGCTAAGTCATTCCTAAGGCTCCTATAATTGGCGCGTAGATCATTTAGCGTGTTTCAAATACTAGTTCTGTTGGTCTAGACCAATCAGATTCCGTGGTCAGAGGCTACCGAAGGAACCTGTGGTTGGTAAAGCTGACCACATCTCTGAGTAGTGACCGAACCTGTTGTCTTCTCGCCGACCCCCGATTCACCATGGAGTCTCCACTTTTGAGACACACACCCCCTGTACTTCCACAGTCCTACGTGGTACATGGGGCGATGTAGGATGAGCCATTGGTCGAGACCGCATAAGACGCTTTCAGATGTTACAGGTTCAGCAGGGGGTTTTATCTTTGGCCAATTGAAATTTCAGCAGGGCTTCTCACGGCTCCGATTGGATGTACGAGAGCCTGCGGGATGGGCAACGTACCACCACTATCCAAGGCTTCAGTTGGGCGCCCGAATGTGACCTACGCCCATATCTGCATGTATTGACGGAGTTGGACCTATGAAAACACTATCTAGTCTAGCCCACGACATGCGTGCGTTACCCACGCACCCTCAAGGAAATGTGGCATCTGGACTAGCGCGCTAGTCACTGGGGAGCAGGGTTGAGTTCAGGATGAGTTCAGGATGAGCTCCCGGGTGTGAGAGGAGAGTTCATGGTGAGTTAGAGCAGCGCTGCTCACCCTCTAGAACCGGAAAGGAAATGACAATTCTCAGAAACTGGGCCATAGTCTAGGAGTATTAACTTAATATCTTATTATTCTATAAAGATATTATTTAGCTTAATAGCCTTTATATACATATAAATAAACATTTTAAGCTATTTTAAAATTATTTTAATTTTATTTAAGTGAGTATACTTAAACACTAAAAACACTTTTATATTAAGTGACTAAAGAATATAAAAGTAATATAATAATATAATTAGTAAGTTAATATTATTCTTTATATAATAAGTAATAAAATTAGCTTTAATATAACTTTTATAGCTATTAATAATTAATAATTAAGGCTAACTCACTACTTTCTTATAAATTTAAGACTTAAATACCTTAATTAATTATTATAGATTAAGCTTATTTAATATTTAGCAATTTTTACTAACTATAAAATACTAGTTAAAGAGTATTTAAGTTAGTAGCTATTTAGAATTAATATTTTAATTCTTAAAGATAATTATTAGTGAAAGTATATCTTTAGCTATATTAATATATTTAATTATAGTTACTCACTTTTATTTCTTTATTATAATTTTATATTATTACTAATAATTAAGGAAAACTAAAACCTTTATTATTTAACTCTCTTTAACCCTAAAACTAAACTTATTTATATTTTAAATATTAGAATTATTATAGATACACTCTTAGAATTTAGTAATAATTATATTAAATTATACTTTAACCTTATAATATAATATATTATTAAATTATATAGTCTTAAGTTACTTTATATAGATACTCTAAATAGTTAAATAATAATTAAGAAAGTAATAAAACTATTTATAGCTAATTAAAGTAATAATTTTAGTGAAGACTAAATTTTATAATATATATTAAATATATTTATAGCGAATTAATTTAGCTAGCTTAATTAATAATATTAATATAATAAATAATTTAATATATATATATTATAAAACTTATTACATAAGTATCTTTTTTTCCGCGTTTAAAAGGATTTAGACTATTTCTATAGCTTAAGCGCGTAAAAGTTCTCTAGTAAGCTAATATAATAGGGTTTAATGTGACACGTTAAAAGCGATAGCGGTAGCGCGAATAGACTTATATTCTTAATTTTAATGTGCTAGGATAGCCTTCTAGACTCGCTCTTTAAGATTAGCTACTTTAGAAGTGCGTTAGTAACTCATGGTTAATAGGAGTGGTGGTTAAACGTGACTAAATAGAGTTTTGTGGTCCATTACTCTATATAGTTCATTAGACTATATAGTACTCTATAACTTATAAAAAAATAATGTTTTTACGGAATTTTGCAAAGTATAATACCTT